GGTGCAAATTGAATATTATCACGCCAAGCCTAACTCATGCAGCTCTTTTGCAGAGAAGGGCTTGGTGGGTTCATTTTTTTGCATTAATTACCCCTTGAGAACCCTATATTGGCGTGGAGGCCCTTTTTTACTCTCTCTCTCTCTCTCTCTCTAGCTATGTGAGAGAGAGACCGACAGAGATTAGAATGTGCTTCACCATAAACGAAGAACACTTTATTCTTAGAACAATCCAAAGAGCCAAACAAAAAAGATGGGAACGTTTGTGCATGAAAATTCTTGGTTGTCACNGTCTGATTCCGATCGCGTAAAGGTGTTTGTTTTTGTCTGATCTCGTCCATTTTTTCACTGTTTCCTTGTCCTTTAACTTGAGAGGATAAAACAGATCAAAAAGGCTCTTAGAGGGGTGAAAGTCGACATAACGCACCGGGGTAATGTAAGGCGTAAGTATCGTATTTCGGGGCTAACGTCACAGCCTACAAGAGAACTAGTGTAAGTTTTTGAATTATTCAAGCAGATACACTTGCATTAGTGTAAGCTTTTACTCTATATGGCTAATCCATGCGTGCTAATGCTCGGTCAGGTTTCCTGTTGACGACAACTCGACCATGAAGTCGGTTGTCGAGTACTTCCAGGAGATGTATGGCTTCACCATCCAACATGCTCATCTGCCTTGCCTCCAAGTAGGAAATCAGAAGAAGGCCAATTATTTACCAATGGAGGTAGCTTAAAATTCTTCCCTCATTGCTATTGTTGTTAGATTGATGCCCACCGGCCTTATTTGAATGCTTTTGTGTCTGCAGGCTTGCAAAATTGTTGGGGGACAAAGGTATACAAAGAGATTGAATGAGAAACAAATAACTGCACTTCTGAAAGTCACATGTCAAAGACCGAGGGATCGAGAAAACGACATTCTGAAGGTAATATGTCCTCTTTGAGTTTTCCCTTTCGGGCTTCCCCTCAAGGTTTTTAAAACGCATCTGCTAAAGAAAAGTTTCCACACCCTTATAAAAAATGCTTCGTTCTCCTCTTCAACCGATGTGTGACCTCACAATCCACACCCCCCTTTGGGCCTCGTCATCGCTGGCACTCGTTTCTTTTTCTAACCGATGTGGGATCTCACAATTCACTCCTCTTTGGGGCCCAGCGTCCTCGTTGGCGCACCACCCTATGTCCACCCCCTTCAGGGCTCAGTGTTCTCGCTGGTACACCACCCAGTGTCTAGCTCTAATACCATTTGTAACAGCCCAAACCCACTGTTAGCAGATATTGTCCTCTTTGGGCATTTTCTTTCGGGCTTTTCCTCAAGATTTTTAAAACACGTATGCTCGGGATCTCACATATGAAGTCCTATTTTTTCCAATATTCCTATGAAAACTGTATGTGAAGTTTGCACTGAGACTATAATCCATTCAAAGGAACAAGATATTCAATGTCCAATTAGGCAGTAGACTTTCTTGACTCTTTATCTGATTGCTGGATAACACAGTTTCTTCTCTTGGCCTTCAAACTTTGATAGACTGTTCAACATAATGCCTATAACAACGATCCTTATGCAAAGGAGTTTGGGATAAATGTTAGTGAAAAGATGACTTCTGTTGAAGCTAGAATTCTTCCTCCTCCATGGGTATGCATTACTTCTTCAAATCGCATGTTATCCACTGCTACGTTAACGAAAAAGTCGTGTTTATGCTGACATCAACTTCTTGATGAACTGATGCAGCTGAAATACCATGATACTGGAAAAGAGAAGGATTGCTTGCCTCAAGTGGGTCAATGGAATATGATGAATAAGGTATATGCCTCTTTTTTTATAAACTTTAGTTCGTTTTTCTTATTTTTCATCGTTTCTATACGAACGTCAACTTAGATTTGAAAAGTTAGAATTTAGTTCCTATGACTTTAAATGTCAGAATTAGGCCCAATGGTTTGATAAAACTCTCGCCATTTTGTGAGGTAGGCGCTATTTACGAGGATTTTATCAATCGGTAGAGACTATGTAACGGTCCAATCCCACCACTAGCAAATATTGTCCTCTTTTGGGCTTTCCCTCAAGGTAGGGAGAGGTTTCCACACCCTTATAAAGAGTGTTTCGTTCTCCCTCCCAACCGACGTGGGATCTCACAATCCACCTCCCTTCGGGGCCCAACCTTCTCGCTGGCACTCATTCCCTTCTCTAATCGATGTGGGATCCCCCCAATCCACCCCTTCAGGGCCTAACGTCCTTGCTAGCACACACCTCGTGTCCACCCCCTTTGAGACTCAGCAGTCCACCCCATTTCAGGGCTCAGCCTCCTCGCTGGCACATCACCCAGTGTCTAGCTCTGATACCATTTATAATGGCTCAAGCCCACCGCTAGCAAATATTGTCCTCTTTAGACTTTCTCTTCTGGGCTTTCTCTCAAGGTTTTAAAACGCGTCTTCTAGGGAGAGATTTCCACACTCTTATAAAGAGTGCTTCGTTCTCCTCCCCAACCGATGTGGGATCTCATAGACTATTTATGAGGTTTTATCAAATATCATATTACCCATGCTTACATTTTTCCTCACGTAATGCAGAAAATGATTAATGGAATGACGGTTAGTCGGTGGGCGTGTATCAACTTCTCTAGGAGCGTGCAGGAGAGCGTTGCTCGTGGATTTTGTTCTGAACTTGCTCAAATGTGTCAAGTTTCTGGAATGGTAACATTTTGGCTGATTCTTTATTGGTTCTTCAAGATTTAGATGTCTCATTTTACTGACCTGCAACATAACATATTGTAGGAATTCAATACAGAACCAGTTATTCCAATATACAATGCTAGGCCAGAACAAGTAGAGAAAGCTTTGAAGCATGTTTATCATGCTTCCATGAACAAGACTAAAGGAAAAGAGTTAGAGCTATTATTAGCTATCTTACCCGACAGTAACGGATCGCTTTACGGTGAGCTCATACAACTCGTAAAATGATCCGAAAACGGAGATGACCCTTCTAAACTGAGATTTTTCTTTGATATCATTCGGATTTGTAGGTGATCTTAAGCGAATCTGTGAGACGGATCTTGGTTTAATATCACAATGCTGTCTTACAAAACATGTGTTCAAGATTAGTAAGCAATATCTTGCTAATGTTTCACTGAAGATCAATGTCAAGGTACAATTTAGCTCCGCAGTTTAGTGATAGCACAAATTTATAAATGTTATCCACTTGATGAGTGTTATTTGCTCTTGTTCTTCTCCTGTTTGATACCTCAGATGGGTGGTAGAAACACTGTTCTTCTAGATGCTATCAGCTGCAGGATACCGCTCGTAAGCGACATACCGACTATAATATTTGGAGCAGACG